TTGCATATAATATTACTATAGCATATAACATTACTTTTAGCTTAAATATCACACACGGCATACTATCTTGCTGCTATATACTACATAGTAACTACCCTATAGTATACTACACTTCTCATGGCACACTATCTTGATACTATATACTACATAGTAACTACCCTACGGTATACTACACTTCTTACGGCATACTACTTAACGGCAATATGACCTCAAGGTAGTACAACCTCTGCGTCATAGCCGTAATGCCGTAGGTAGTTACTACCTCAAGAAATGTTTGCAGCTTTACAATTTACAACAAACCATCTTTTTTTATCCCTGGCTTGGCAAAAATTGTAATTAATTGAGTATTCAAAAAGGTCGCTCAAGTAACAATCATGGAACATCATTCTCGACATCGAATTACTATTTTTACTATTTATATTAAAAGTTTTATGGAAAATAAAAAATATGAGAAGGCACGAAATAAAATTGCAGACGTTTACTAACTCTTAGCCTTTACTCATATGACAACGAATTCAACTATTCCACCAATAATTTATTCGTTTGGTACAACAACCCAATATCAACATAGGCCTAAAACTAATGAATTCCGGATCGATGTTTTGCCATACTTAACTGATGATGAGGGTTATAATTCTTTCTAGCAACACTTTTTTATCATTCTTTCAACATTTAATATAATCACACTCTCATTGGCAACTCGATGTAGTAGAAGTAATTTGTGAAATCCCTATTTCAATCCTGTCTCAGGGCCCTAAATGGAAACAAGTAAAAGTTACCGATATTTTTGTTGTTAGTATTCCTGAACATGTACTGATGTTAGGGAACTCATGGTTCCAGGAAAATGCAATGAAAGTGGACTTCCCAAATAAAACTCTTACATTACTCGATGGAACTAGTTGCGAGGTTATGTGCAATTAAGAATACCCGGAAAATGTGTAGTATATGCGCCTAAAATTAATTATCCGAACTCAGTTATTTTTCGTAATTGGACCCAATCAATTACACTCTGTTGCTTTAACATTGCTTCAAATTTGCTTCAAATTTTTTACAGAATTCTTGCCTTGACTCAATATTGTTATTAGCTTCGGCCATTGTATGTTTTGAATTATTATTTATATGCAG